TCCCGTCCGCATCCCGACCCCATCTCCTCCCCTCCCCATCCCGTCCCCGTCCCGTCCCGTCCCCCTCCCGTCCCCGCCCACGGGGCTCCGCGCTCACCCGCGTCGGGGGCCGAGGGGCTGTGCCGGGCTTTGCCCTGCGGGGTCCGTGCCGCGAAGTCGGGGTGCGCGTGACGCGGCGAGGGCTTCGAGCTCCGGACGCGGGGTCCCCGCCGCCTGCTCCGCTCAGCTCCCGGCCGCACGCCGCGCGCGTCCCTGGGCGCTGCCCCCTGCGAGAACCGTGCAGGTCGTTCTCGATCGCTGGACGAGGAAGGAAAGAGGAGGGGCGCGGGGCTGGACTGAGGCGCGCGCTGGGGAGGTCCGGGCAGCCCTTTGGGGCTTTGGCTGAGGCGCACGCGGGGAGGAAGGATGCTGGAGGCTGACGGTGTGAGGCCGGTTCCGGCTTCCCTTTTGTTCTCGTGCTGTCCGCCCCCACCCATGGGTGTCCAGGTGAAGGGGCGATTCCTTCCAACCTTCCTTTGCGCCTCGCCTAACAGTTACAATAAAGCAAGAGACCCGATCACGGCACCAGCCTGTTTTCAGTAAGCCTCTGTTGCGCTGGTTTAATGACTGCACAAAAATGGTGGGTTTTTTTCCTTCGCCGTTGCTTGTAGGCTTCGAAGAAGCAAACTTGGCACGACTAAAAGTAATGACGATCTGAGTCATTTTGCAAGCAAAGTGCGAAACAACTTTGCATTTTAAAGATTCGGGTGGCTTTTTTCGCCCTCCATAGCCTCTAACATAAGTCTTTCTTAGTGCTAAGGACTGTCAGCCTCAGTTTTTACCTTAGTAAGGAACCCCGTGTTTTGAGGTTTGGTGTTTGTAGACTGTGGCCCGTGGAAGTGACACCGCGTGGATGCTGCCGTTGCGAACCGCATGCTCTTCCTTCGAAAATGAAGGCTCGACACAAAAGGAGGGTTGAGAAGTTCATTTCCAGGCTTCGGCATTTACCGTGTCAGTGCGTTCCCCTGGTGTGGCATTTACCGTGTCAGTGCGTTCCCCTGTGGCCCTCGGTGTGAGGCAGCCCCGCCTTGTGTAAAGCAGCGGAGTAGGAGTCCTAGGTCGGTGTAGGCGTCCTTCCGCTACAGAGCGTCTGGGAAAGGCTGGGAGAAAGGCCTGAGAGGGAGGTTTCGCTACCTCGGGGAGCAGAAGGGGTCAGTGTTTGTTAAACCTAGCGCTGTGGGCGTCTGGACCTCGGCTGCAGCCCGGGGAGATGGGCTGCAGCGTCTCTGGCCTCCCCTCTGGGATGATGGTACCAACCCTGCAACCTGTGACCCTCAGAAATGTTGCCGAATGCCCCCTGGGGGCAGAAATGTGACCTCCATTTAAAGCTGCTCCTCTAGGTTAACAATTAAATGTAGCTGCATGTGAAACAGAGAGGGAAAGTTGGGCCTCTGCAGCCCGCTGTGGTGAGTTAGGTGTCGCTGGGTCTTTGTTTTCAGAAGAAATTATGGAATTTTTGTTTCTTCATACCAGTGACGTTAGAACAGTTCCAAAATGAATTGAAAAGAAAAGCTTCAGGTTACTGAATTCCTTTGTCTTTTTCTCCTTTGCTTTTCCCTCCGTCCCTTCTCCTTGTAGCAACTCGGCCACACCCCTGCTGCCCCCCTTGGCTCCTTGGAACCCTGCCCTGCCCCCAGTGCCCTGACCCTGCTCCTGTAAGCCTGTCAGAGGCGTGCTCATGTCACAGAGCTGAGCTTTTGGAATGCTTGAAAACATTTTTTTCACTAATTTGACTTTCTGAATGTTGGCTTCTTTGGGGGTGTCGAAAGCATGTGTGAGCAGTTCAGGGAAATCGTCCACCCTGGATGTGGCAACCAGATCACCTGGCAGGAGGAGTGGGCTCTGAGATCCCCGAACCACTGTCACGCCCAGTGCCTGGGTCTTTCCTCCTGTGCAGTGCTTTGTTAGGTTTATCAGAGGATTTCTTTAAATTTATTTAAGGCTGAAAATTTCCAAAGTACACATGAGTCAGTATGTTAAACAGCCTTGTATGTTGCATTGTAAATTAAAGAATGTGTAGTCTTTTTAGACATCTGGGCTGAGGGACTCAGATCGGAGAGCTGCACCTTAGTAAAGATTTTTGTCTGTGGGTATCTAATATATTTGCTTTAAATCAGAGGCACCTCACCACCCTAGTTAGTGACGGTGAATTAGGCCTTATGGAGAGGCCATAATCCAGTAGTGGCGAACCTACGGCACACTTGCACAGCAGGCTGCTGGCATTATTGAAAGCTCTAAAAGGTTCCACACCACTGATTTCATCTCATCAGTGACCGAAAGGAACTTCGGTAAAAATTTGGGTGATCTGAGTTTTTGAGATTTTGGTTTATAGGTTTTAATACCGGAATAATAATCCTAAGTGAAGACAGTTATTTTAATGAAATAAGTAATAAAAAGAGTAATCTTTGTATTCTGTGTGGGTAGTGATTTCAGGGGATATATCTTGTATTCTATCGCCAGGAATGCTGTCGTTTATCATCTTTTTAAAATCAGTATCGCTGGGCGTGGTGGTGCATGCCTGTAATCCCAGCACTTGGGAGGCTGAGGCAGGAGGATTCTTGTGAGTTGGAGACCAGCCTGGGCTACAAAGTGAGATCAAGGCCCGCCTAAACTGCGTAGTGAGACCCTGTCTCAAAAAAAACAAAAACAACAAAAAAATCAGTATCATTAGGCCTATGATGCTTTTCAGTCAGACAATAGTGTACTGCTGGTAATTATTAAATGCTATTTTACTATGATTTTCACAGATAAAGGGAGTTAGATTACATCAAGGTATAATTTTTGTGGAATATTTTTGAAGTAGAATTTCACCCCAAACCTTTGAACTTTCTCTTCTTTTATTCCACATTACGATCCTTCTCTGCATCTGTCTCTACAAATAAAAATCCAGACTGTATCTCTTTGTGAAGCTCAGTTTAAATGTTACATAGTTGGGAGAAAATGGGGCGAGGAGTGGGTTATTTTCCCCTTGCTGCTACCAACCAGCTGTTTGCGATACTCCATCGCTTATCTTTTCGCTGCCTTTGAACTTGCCCCATGACTTCTCTAGTTGAGCAATTCTGGCCTTAGCAGAGATTAATTTTGCCTTGCTTTAGCTACTTTCTTCAGTTGGCTCAGAAGCCTTGGTATCAGAAAGCCCGTTTCTTGGAATAAAAGGACCTGGTGTTTCGGGTCTCTCTGTGGCTGGTCCGCCTCTTCTTTGCGGTTACTGGAGCGGAAGCCACAGGTGGGCTGGAAGCACATCTACACCGTGCTGATTCCCGGGTATATCTTCAGTTTTTCATTCTCACATCCCTCTGGCTCCCGCCTCGCGTTCCCTGCTTCTGACCTCTTGGTTCAGGAGGCTTCCTGCTTCTGTCCTTCCTGCTCTGAGTATCACGCTGTGTGCGTGGTCACAACTCTTTAAAAACTGTCTCCTAGGGCTGGTTCTCTTCTGTCCCTAGATGTTCACCTTAGAGTACCTTCCTCCTGCCAGCTAGAGCAGTCAGCGTACCTGCTGCTAATCATATCTGTGCTTGGTCTCTAAAATGTGTTCTTTCACTCTTCTTGCCCCCCTATTCCTTGAGCACCCTAAGGGGAGAATCCTTAGGGCTCTCTTTGCACTCTTAGTACCCCTTCTACTTGGCCACTTGGAAAATATGTTTTAAATTATGTGACATCGTCTTGCTGAAATACAAACTTCACGCTCTGCCATGTTGTTTTCAGTGCCTGTGGCAGTAGATAACTATCCAGCTGAACAATATTTATACAAAGGAATAGTAAAGTTATGTGATGACCCACAAACATGTATAGTATTTAAAAGAAAATGCTTTGGTTTAATATTTTGCTTCTGTATTTATGAGAACTTAGTAGCTGTTACTAAATCTGATAAAAAAAATTGTTGTAATTTTTTTTACACAAAGATTCACTTTCCAGCCACAATCTTCATTTTTGTTGTAGCACACATTTCTCACTGCCTTAAGAAAACTCAAGATACAACAAATCCATCCGAGAGGACAGGACCGGGTTGGTTTCAGGGTCACATATTTCTTGGTCACGTGTCCTGGCGTGCGTGTCTTCAGTGTGTGACCACACTGAGTGTGATGTGTTGAAGTCCCCATCCCAGATGGCGTGTGCGGGCCAGTGACCAAAGGTTAGCAGGACCTAATGTTGGAATGCTTAAGAACCTTAACAGAACTAGGGCGAAATAATTCTAACATGAACATGTATTGTCATAACACAGTGGCTTCAAACAAGGTAGACATCTACCACACAGTCTTAGAAGTCAGTCGTCCTTTAGGAAGGGGATCAGGAATCTTTTCTCCCAGAAGTCCTAGGGGACCATCCCTCTCCTTGTCCTTTTTTACCTCGAGTTGTAGGCTGTGTTCCTAGCTTCTGGTCCCTTCCCGACTGTCAAAGCCAGCAGTGGCCACTAGAATTCCTCCCAGGCGGCCTCGCTCCATCACAAAGGAGGGCCTGGTCCACCCACATCTCCCAGGATGTCAGCTCCTGGTCAAGACCCTTGGCTGACTTTCACATGAGTGAGTCCCTTTCACCACGGCAGGGGACATAGTCACAGGTTTCAGGGAGGGGTGGTGTCTCCCTGGGGACTGTTGTTGTGCTAACCCTCTGCTTCCAGAGCGCAGGCAGTTCTGCATGTAAATACGTTCACCACCTCCAACACTCAGACTCCTCCACCCATTACAGCGCCAGCTTCAGATCCAAAGCTCATGACGCGACCCAGGAATGGGTGAGATCCTGTGTGTGAACAGTTCTGGGATAAATCTTCATTTGTGAACCTGAAAAACTAAAGAACAAGTTATCTGTTCTGAGAAAACAACAGTAGGTCAGGTACAGGTTATGAGCTGTAGTGGAAAGGAAGAAAGAAGTATCAATCTCAAGCACGTTGAAAGCTCCAGTGGCTCTTAGCTGTGCCGCTGGGGCGCTAGACAATGCTCCTGGGTCACCCTTCCTTTCTAGTGAAACCGCACATGTTTGGAGCTGCTAGTTTATTAGCCTCCTTCTTGCTCATAGAATTTCGGTGACCTGACAGCATCGTGTCATAAAGGCAGACCGCACCTTTGCTTGGAAATCACTGCTGCACATCCGAGGCCAGAGCTTAGAGGACTTGCTTTCTTTGTCAGTGCAGGGTGTAATTTGGCTGAGCTTTGTGTTTCTGTATAGCAAAGACTCCCTTTCCTGTAGCTTTTAATAAACATGGACCTTTCTCTCCGGTCTTTACTAGCAGCGTGTTGGAAGCATTTC